AGAGAGAGAGAGAGAGAGAGAGAGTGTCCACGGAAATCGCTTTATCGTTGGAATTCTGGTTGCTTTTCTTCAGCCGGTTGTCACCGTAAATCGTCGCGAAATCGCTTTCCATGGTGGCGCCTTTGATCGCGTGTACCATGACGGAATCTAAATTCCACGAACCACCGAATTTCCAGCTACCTTTCCTCGCTCTCGGTCTCCGACTCTGATATCAAACCGATCCGTAGATCCAGTCAGCTGACAAATTGAATTTTTCTTGGCTGTCTTCTCGGCTGAAACGGGCGTTCCTCCCGTCCCTCCCCACTCCCGCTTTTATTTATTAAAATCCTCGCCGACTTAACCGATCTCCTAGAGAGAGAGAGAGAGAGAGAGAGATCTCGAGCAACGTCGGATAAAATCGAACCCCGGGGGGCAAACAGCTTGGATCGACGTTCACGTTACGATCTCTTCGTCCGTTTCGAATCACTGGAGAATTAACGCTGCAACCATCGGCGAGCAAAAAAGCGAGAATGTTGCATCCGTATCCGAGGAAGATGAAAGTGCAAGAAAGAGTTTCGGATAACACGCGAGATTTTATTCGTTTATACTTTTTCGACAGAAGGAAAATGTCACAGAAAATTCTCACGAATCGCGAAGAGTCGTCAAACTTGATTGCTCGAATGCCACAAAGTTTCGTCGACTTTAATCCGTTGTGTATTTCGTCCTCTGATGCTCAAAGATTAATCATTGGAAAACTATCAGTCAGAAAGAACTCGTTATTATATACGCGCGTTTCGAAAATTTCACCGATGGCTTAGTTCTCTCGTGTGTGTCTGTACACGTGTGTGCAGCGATTTGATATCGAATTATCACTAAAAATTACGAATCGGTAGGACCACTCTGGTGATTGCAACGTCGAGCAATTACCCCACTCCTTTGGTCTCCTCCTTCTTCCCTGTCCAGCATTAATCCGACCTCGATCCATTCTCCTCGTTTCTGCAGCTTCTTTCTCTCGCCACCTAGCACCTAGACAGTCCTAGGACCATCGACGAAACCCTCCTTCGAGCCAGCCCGCGCTAACCGCAACAACGTTGTCTAGAGATTTCCTATTAAGGGGACAAGTCGTCGCTGTTTGCACGCGACGCTTCCCCGTGCTTCCTCGAATCACCGTGGGCAGACGTCCCCCATGATGTGAACAGACGATGACACACGTCGCAATTACGTGGACGGTGTTTACGTTTACGCTAGTCGCAGCTGCGGCTGCGAGTCGTTTCTCGTTTGACGAAACGAGCGATTGTCCGCGAACCTGAGGAAGCCGAGCTGAAAGCCTCGGACCTTTCGTGCTCATTGGCTCGGACGATTAATCGAGACAGGTTCCTGCACCTGGCAGCAACGCTCGTTTTCATTAAGCTTTCTTGCTCTCGCCTTGCCTCTTGATCATTTCAGTCATTTCACTCGCCGCGTTTCGCGAGACGTTCCTCCGTTTTTTCCCTCTTTCGGTTTTGTTTTCTTTTCGGTCTCTTGAGTTCCTTGTGTTTAATCGCTAGTTGAAGAAGACGCGTCCACTTTTTAACGGCGAGCTCGTCCAGTTTCTCCTCGCCAAGATGCAAGCGACAGGAATTTTCGAACTGCGTTTCAGCGGACCGAGTTTCTTTTTTTTTTCGTCGACACAATCCGGACCATGAGGAAATTGAATCTCCGCGATCTGTTAAAAAAGCTTGGCTGATTCTGTTTCGATTCTGAGGTTCTGCTAGAGTTGACGTTGCCTCGCGGAAGTGTTCGCCTATGTCTGAAAGTATATCTGAAATTTCGTTGCGAGCTCTGTGTCGCTTGTCAATTCCATTCTCAAGAAAATGGAAATAATTACGATATGTAAAATTCTCAGAGAATGAACAATTCGTTGCACCAATGAACACGTTCTCTGTTTTTCCGTGAAGTAATATCTCGTTCTTCAATACTTATGTCTTAACACTAGAACCAAAGTGCTCGAAATGATCGATATTTAGATATTTTACGGGCGTAAAATATTTTTTAAAAGTTCAAATAATCTTTCCTAAAATATACAGACAAAAGCTTGTACACTCCATTGTATTATCAAGCTTCTCCATTCTTTTTTTTTTACTTTAATGTTTCTGACGAAAAATTTTACGCGTTAATCGTAAATTAGTTCTAGTGTCAAGGCTGGATAGTTCAAATACTTTCTCGATCCAATGTACAACATTTTACATTTGCACGTACTTGCACGTCGAGATTTCTCTGCCGTGGTTCGATAATGGAATAATCTCTCTTTGTTGTGTCGCAGGAAGAGATTCCCCGTCATGATCGCATCGCTTTAAAAATTTCATCGCGAGACTCTCCTCTCGTCGCGTTGCAGGAAAAGAATAAGAGAAACGTTCGATCTCTGGGCGATCGTTCGGCCCTTTGTTCGCCTTGTCGGCCGACGATTATTAAAATTTATTGATTTATCGAGCATGATAACCCTCGCTCGGTAGAGCGTAAGGTCGGCGGATTAAGAAAGGTCGTTAACAGGGTCACCTTTGTCCTCCATTGTTGTGCGCTAGAAATACTTGAATATTTCCCACGTAAAGCATTACGTAAGGTATCGTAACACCGTTCGATGTTTTCTGCACGCAGCTGCATCGTCTACTCTCCTCCTTGCAAAAAAAAAAAAAAAGAAAAAAGAAAAAAGAAAAGAGAAAACCAAGAAAATTATAGAACAACAAGTGTTTTATCTCTCGAGAAACTCCTCCCAAGCATGAGCAGACGTTCGCGATAATATTCCGCGATTCTAAAGTCTTCGCGGAGTCGTGAATCACAATTCCGGGATTACGCGTTTGTAGAATTTTTATAGGGAACTGTCTCGCCCCGAAGTAGATTGAAGATAAGAGGGCAAGAACGTGATAAGCATATTTTTCCTAAGTTCGTTCGATTGTAACGTCTTAACTTGCAGTTCAGAAGGAATATTTTAATATCAGACAAATGCGAACAAAAGGCGTGCAAGCTTCGTACGTATTCAAAGGACAAGCGATATCTTCAATCACAATTACAAAGGGAGTAAAAGAATATCGAGTCTAGCGCCACCATTTCCAACAATTAATATCTCAATTAACAACGCGTGCTACTCGTCCTCGTCAATATTATAACAAACGAACCGAATTGGGAAAATTCACATTCAGACTTTTCGCGTCCACTTTCGCTTCCGCTTTCGTTTCCATCGAGAGAATACGCACGCGGTTGGTTGAAACGGTCCCTATTTGCTTTCCATTCCGCTCATTAACTGCGGTCACAAATTTCGTTCTTGATCCTCTTATCGGATCCAATTCGGCCCGGGCCGTCTTATCGGCCTATAAAAATTCCCGGGTCGCGGCGCCACAGACTTCCTTCATCCGCAGGAATGATTTCCTTAATCCACAGTTCGTGGAGGAGGCGAGGATAAAAATAGAAGAGACGGCGAAAAGTCTAGGGCCTTGGAGGGTCCATTGTGGTCGCGGCGATTTTAAACCACGGCGAATCAATTAATCCGCGCCCTCCCTCCCTCCCTTTCTCCTCCTCTTACTTCCTGAATGTTGAACAACCACTGTCGACGTGTATTAATTGGAACTCGATGAGAGGATTAAAGACTAAGTGGCTGGTTGACCTTTTTCCTCCTGGATGGGATGTCTAGCTTCTCTGCTTCTCGTCGTTCGATTTTATTTCCCTTTTTTTCTTCTTTTCTTTCCTTTTTTCTTCTCTCTCTCTCTCTCTTTGTTCTTTGCTCTCCGTTCTTTCGACGTATGAGCTGTCGTCAACCTTTTACCCGCGATCGAAGAGAACGAAAAGAGAATTCGAAACGTTAAAGGTTAATTGCTGCTCGGGCAGGTTAAATAGTCGGCTGGACGTTCCATTATGAACGATGAAAAACCTAGCAGGAACGTAGGAGGGAAGCGTAATAGAACCGCGTTCGTTAGAAACTTGCTGCGAAACAAGTGGTTTCGCATAACTGGACTTCATTCTTTCTCTCTCTCTCTCTCTCTCTCTCTGGCTTTCGTTTTTACGATTAAACGGTGGATGTTTGGTCGATATCCTCTTTTCTTTTCTTTTTTTTTTTTTGAAAAATTTATAAAATAACACGCGAGAGAACGGCGAAGTTTCTGAGAGTACAATTAAGAACGGTAGGAACTTTGTGTAGGAAATTGTTTCACGTGTGCTTTGCATATTGAATCTCGGCGGGAAATTGGTACAGGTATTTTTCAAAGAAAATCTTCCTCGAGGCAGAATATAAAGGAGATATTTCGTTGTCCCTTATCTGCTTTGTCGCCAAGAAGGCAATATAACGCAGATATCTTTAGATTCGATTGCAACTTCGATTCGCATGATCCTCGAACGAGCAACTCTTTCTCCGGCTAAAATAGCAAACAATTTCTACTCTATTGCTGCTCGCTGAAAATAATTTACCAGCACCGCGCCGTGCAAACCGTCAAACGTGCTACTTCAAAGTCGGCGAAGCTGTCTCGAAACAGGCTGTTGCCCGGTCGCGCAAGTTCAAGCGAGTTGAACCTCTTCGTTTCGCGATAAACTAGCTGCGGCCGGAACTTCTGGCTGCGCGCAGGGCAGCCGGCTTTCCTGAAAGCGTACGGAATACTGATAGGAGCTGGTGTAAACCTGCAACACTCCTCCTGTCACACCTTCCTCTCTCTCTCTCGTCGACAAACCCTTCCCAAACACTGCGATTATTCTAGAGAACTCTAAGCTTCGTCGCTGGCTGCTCGAGTTTGTTGAAAAAAAAAAAAAAAAAAAAAAAAGGAGAAAAGAAAAGAAGATTTTGCACGATATTCATTTTAATGCTTTAACCGAGAACGACGAGTCACTTTTTTCGGTCGTGGAAATTTTGAAAATCGAAATGTGGTTCGTCGTGGAATTTCAGTGATGTTCCGATTGCTCGCCCGAGAGTTTAAAAAATTTTTCAATTTTCCAACGACCTCTATCGCGGCGTGTTGGAATTTCTAGAGATCTCTCGATTTTTCCTATTGCTCGCCGTTGCGACAGGATTTCATCAATTTTCTATAAATAATTCGTGTCGCAGAGCTCCGAAGGTTTTTCCAGCTTTCCTAACGACCAGGTCTCTCGTCGTTCCTGGTTAAAGCGTAAATAAACGCAGCGACGCGTTGGATAAATAACAAGGAACACATGTGGTTGTAAGGGAAAATAAAATCATGTAGGAGGAGGATACAGGTGTATATGAAAGGGTGTGTCGTAAAGGAATAAAAATAGCACGCAAAAGGGTCGCCATCATATTGTGGCGATAAGTAATCGTGAACTCTGATTGATGCGAAATGTCATTCATAAACCTGCTACGCCGATCAGACGTTCGAATTGACCCCGCTACGACATTTCAGTTATTTTTGATTGAATGAAGGAGCTTCTTAGACTTGAGGAAGAAGCACGAGAGAGTATTCGTATTTATAGGGTGACATTAAAGATGTTTTTCAAAACGTTTTCGAACCCCTCGCGTGAAATTCAAAACGTAAAAGCAGTAACCTTTTCGGGTTGCTCTAGCAATTGCAGGGCGAAAAGTATATTTAAAAATATCGATATGTCTAAAAGTGTAAAGTACAAAAGTATATATGAAGGTATCATTCTGAAATATTAATACGTATATACATTTATTTTAAAGTCCATTTACAAAACGTGGATTAATATACATTGAAATGACTTTGCCATTCTCGTTTGCAGTCACGCGAAAGCTATGAAATATAGAGATTTCCCTCTCGTCAAATGCATACGTACATTGAAAGATAATTCATGGAAAGATACGTATTCACGAGTTATATATTTTTACTGCTCACGTATTCGGATTGTAATTTATTTGCAGAAGTTGTGCGAGTTCACTTTGTGCAAACAAAATCGAAGGATCGAAGCAAGGAGTGTCAGTCATCGAGCATCGTTTCGAGAATATATATTACACTCGACAAAGCAGCCAAGGAATGTTCAAGTCTCTGGAATACTCGAAGTTGAACCCAGTCCCGTGCTCGCCAGATCCCAGATCGTCGTGAACGTTGAACGAAAAACGAGACCGCTGCTAAAACGTGCCCCGACACCAGATTATCGGCCACGTCGTGATTGGGTATTCGTTCGAAATAAATGGCCGCTAATGGTATTTCTGGTAGGTGTCTCGGCCGATAATGCGCGTTCCGTGGCCCGGCTAGCGTTAAATCCACGAAAACAGCGTGCCGTTAGCCAAACACCCTCGCGCCATTGTCTCGCTAACGATCCAACGTTTTAATCGTTTCCCACGTCAAAATTTCGTCGCCGTTGGATCACGTACCGCAACAAAACATCCTCTCAGAGAAACAGAGAGAGAGAGAGAGAGAGAGAGAGGGAAGAAGCAGCAGCCTCGCGCAAGCAGACGATGCAGCAGCGATGATGCACGTCGTCGTCGTCGTCGTTGTCCGCTGAGATTGCACCAGCATTTCAGGTACGAGCCAAATTTTCTTACGAGCAACACAGTCACGCGTGACTTGTAGCGCATGATGAATTGCAAGTTGATTGTTTCTGGAAGATGTGACGGGGGCTCGGTTCGTGTTTGCCAGGACAGTTTGTGATATTCGATGGTGGCTCGTTGCAAGAAACACACTTGGGAATTTTGGTTTTTAGTCTGGGGAGTTGTCCCTGTTTGTGCGCTGGGGATATGAACTGCTGCCGAATGCGTTACGTTATTTAAGTATATGCATTTACGTTTAACTGCAGAATTTTCTGTTTCATTCACTTGGCAGCTGAAACATTTTATTCAAGTTTCTCGTTGACTTGTATGAGCTGCTTGATGATCAATCCGTTTCTATATTACATTCCTAACATATAATTATACATATATTATTGTAAATTACACATAAGTAATGTCGTTTCTTGATACTGCACAAAATTTTATTTTTATTTCATTTAAGAGTTAATACAGTTTCAATCTACAATATAACAGTAAGCACACTGAATGTCAATATATTATTAAATAGAATGTAAGGTTACGTTATAACGAGTTACCGGGTGGTAATAGAATGTATGTTAAATTTGAAGAAAACGACATTACTTATTGTACATATATTACAATTTGTATATTACATTTAATTCTGAAATTTTGTAGTTTTACACTCGGCGGCTGAAACTGATTTTATTCAAGTTTCCCGTTTGCTTGATTCGCAGAGACTGTGATTTGTACAAGCAGTTCGATGATCAACCCTTGTTTTTTTTTTTTTTTTTTTTTTTTGCTACCCTTTTCTTCACGTTCGTGCCTCGACGGATTCTTACAAAAGCAGCGGTCCTTTGTTCTCGATATACTTATTCGTACTTATTCGCGGAGTTCTTTCGAAACATTCTGTAATCCGGGTGAGCGAGCTTCGCTAAAAATTTTCCAATATTTCGTGACGTTCGTGGTCGGAGGAAACTCGCGGAGACAATGGTAGCCTTAATTCTAATGGAGGTATCTAGTTCTAGAGAAATCTGGTCCTAAGTAATTCATAAATTAGTTTTAAATAGAATTCAAGCAGAAATTCCAATATCGTTCTTCGATTCGTAAGGATTTAAGATCATATAATATTGCTTTCTATCGTGCAAAAATGACGGACGTATAATTCGTTGCGATGGAGGAATATTTAACAAAATTTCTAACATTGCTATGCAATACGCGGCAAAGATTAAACCGTAATACGTTTTTATTATTCGGGTGCAACATCTAATTTTCAGGAGTATATTCTCTTTAACTACTTTATGCATAACACATCCCTACCTGGAAGGTCAGATATTTGAAAAAACCTCGCATCCCTGCACCATAAAAAGCCCGTGACTCGTAATTCTTCAACACATTTTTTATCCTGTTATTTGCATTTTCTCTCATGCTTATATTTTACATTCCAACGCTCGAACTCAAGAGGTCCAGAAATTTCCAGAAACCTCTGCCTTCCTCACGTATAATAAATGTCCCCGGCTGTTGTTCAGCTGATTGTTATTTTATTATTCATAAGCCTCGGGGCCATCTGCTCGACTGAATACTCTTCCGCCAATTGATCGCGGATAGAGACGAAAACACGCTCGTATGTTGCCTACGCCAGTGTCCAAACACACGTCCAACCATAAAGGAAAGAAAGGAAAAAAAAAAAGTGAAGAAGAACGGACACTGTTCAAATCGTGTGTTGCTTGTAAGACACTTGCAGTCACGTTCTCTTTTCTTCCAAACGTTCTTCAATGTTCTCTGTGTCGTTATCCGGTGTTTACCAGGCTTAACGATTCGCCGAACAGTTCCCGTTTCTTGCAACAATTTCCGATTCGTAGAAATTTAGGTCGTAGGCCGGATTAAGAATATCGCGGGGACACCTGTTCAGTCTTGGCTCGGCTATCGACTAGTGCGCAACATAGAGTTTTCGAAAATTTCGAAAGTCCTCGCCGCGTTACTCTTATTAACCATTCGCGTGCTCTGCCCGCCTTACCATCGTTACAGTTACGTGTTAAATACGTTAGATTTATTAATTTCGAGCACGCGAGTGTCGTAGTCATGGATGTGTCTCGCCTTCTCTCAACAGCAACGTCCAGCGATCTGAGTGAGTAATCATTATCAGAAATTCGTTCTCGATGTTCTATCGTTGCGTAATAGATGTGCGAATTAGACTTAGTGTACGCACATCGTAGCTGAAAAAATTCGAAGCGGGAAAACGTGGCGTAGTTCGATTCTGAATAACGCATTATTACGCTCGACGTTTTATATTTTTACGTGCATATTGAATACCACTGTTCGTAAGATTATCATTCGTGCCACCAGATTTTCACGGTTTTAATTCAATTTAAACGATCGAAACGATCGTACATTGTCTCTTGATTCGAAAGGAAATGGCTGAGATTGGAAATGCAAATGTAGTATAAATTAAAATAACTCCGTTCCCGTGATCCCGGTGTGATAAAATTCTAATTGAAAAGTCTATACGCTTTCAAATGTTGAAACACCTTGCTCGAAAATTCATAATGAAATTCCATCGTAATCTAAAGTGCTTGCACTGCCAGATTCCGAGTGAATTCGTTGATTTACAGTGGGAATTGACAATGAGTGTGCATTTCGAAGATATGGATTTCCCATCACGTTGCGATCGGAAGAATTTTTATTCTCCTTCGGATCTTAATCTCGGTCGAAAATCCAGACAATTAAATCCTCACGACACACACAGTTGCAGTTAAATTCGATTTTATGAATTATCGTTGAATTAGTCCCAATTAGGACAGTGTCGATATTTCGCGAGACTCTGTCGTTTTGCAAGATTCGTTGGTTCTCGTTTTTCCTTTTTTCCCGCACTTTTAATCTTTAAATGCCACAAGTGTCTGTCTCTTTCTCTCACATGCAGCGGTTAAAAAGAAAGCAAGCTTAAAGCAAGGCTTTAATTACATATTCCGTAAATGTAATGCGAGCTTCACTTTTGCACGGTGCGTACTCACTTCTGATTCTCTCACTGTGGGTATCACGTTCTCGTTAAGAAAAATTTAACAATGTGAACTCTTTGAGATCCGACGGGCACGACCCTCTCTCTCTCTTTAAACAACGTGTTTCCTCACTTTAAAAAAAAATTCAACAATTCTGCTGTTTAATCCGAGACTGGGCCAACAAAGGCCGGGTATTTCCTGCGCAGAAAGGAAGAATCTGTTGTCCGCGAAGCGGATGGTGTTCGTTGTCCATTCAGAGAACTGACCTCCGGATTGAAACCGAGCCCTTTCTCTCACGTTTCTCGCTCGTCCGATAGTAACGCAGAAATTTATGCGTTCCCATTCAGAAGGCTTTCATTTGCTCGGCGTCCGGTTAACGATTCCAAAGTCAACGAGGCCGCTCGTTATTCGGCCTAATTGCGCCGATAGCTTCGTTTCATTAGCGACTGAGCTATCAAACTGTATCCCCCACGCAGGTCCACTTTAAGGTAGAATAAATGTAATCTCTCGCGAAATATCGACAGATGTTTGGGAAATAGTATCTCTGCAAAAATATTGTTC